GTTTCTGAGGCAGTATCACTATGGAAGTAGATTGCCCAACCTTCCTTCCGAGGAGTGGCTGGTGGGTTTGAACCGCCAGCCTTCTGGTTAGCAGTAGCACTGTGCCACCAGAGCTCCCTCACCCCTTTCCTTACTTAATTTACATCGTCTCCCACTTTACTCTTAAAGAGGTCCTTGGGCAGCGACTTCCCCCTTATCTTAAGAGGGAACTCGGATCTGCAGACCGTCTCTGTGGTCACCCGCGGCACTGAAGCAACACAGACGGTGCCTCACTCTTCATGCCCTGTCCCAGCAAATGTACACGGTCCCCCCCAAATGAACCCACAGACGTTCTCGCGGCCCCCACGTCGGCTGGCTTGTTGGGTAACTGCTGTCCACAACCCCAGCCTCCCCATCGGGGCGGCCTGGGGGGACCCGCTGCCCTCTCCGCTTCTCTGAACACCCCTGAGGAAACTGTCATCAGTCGACCGGCCTGTAGAGGGGTCACGTGCCCCGCTGTCCTGATCCGTACGGTTTCCTGACCCTGCTGGTGGCGGTTTTGTCCCTTTGGTTTGTCCTTCCTTTGACGCGACTGTCCAGTCGATCCTGACTCGTGACAATGCCACGTATTGGGGAGGCCTGTCTGGCTGGGGGGCCTTCAGGGCTGGGGGTGCTGTGTGGTTTGGGGGGCCCTTCGTGACTGGGGGGAGCCTTCCTGGCTGGGGGGCCTTTGTGGCTGGGGGGCCTTTGTGACTGGGGGGGCCTTCGTGGCTGGGGGGCCCTTCGTGTCTGGGAGGCCTTCGTGGCTGGGGGGCCTGCAGGGCTGGGGGGGCCTTCGTGGCTGGGGGGCCTTTCATGTCTGGGAGGTCTTCGTGGCTGGGGTGCCTTTCCCCTCCCCTCAGGGAAAGGTGCTGGTGTCCCTGTACTGGAGTTGGAGTCCCTTGAGGACATGAAGTCTACCAGTTGCACTTGGGCCACCATGAGTGACAGACTCAACTCAGGGTGAAGTGCCCACCCTGGAAACCACAGACAGGGTGCTGTGGGCCGTTCCTCCCCCTGCAGGGCTATGGCCTACAGGGTGAACCTCTCCCACATAGGGTGTCTGTGGAGGGTTCCCCGGCTCAGATGTCATGGGACTTTAGCCATGTCCTGATGGAAGACAGATTGCCCTCCGCTGGGCTGAGTGGTCATGTGTCTGCTTGTCACCGAGGAGACAGGCCGGTTTGGCTAGATGAGAGTGAAAGAAATTGCAAGTGGGGGGTCCTCACCTTTAACTGCATGAGGTGACTGCAGCCTTGTGCCCCCAAGAGGCAGGAAGGATGAGAAAACACCCATGGCCTCAGGTGAACAGTGAGCACCGGCGCCCCCAGGGGCGCTGGGGAGGGGATCCCGGGCTGGTACCAGGGTCCCCAGGGGAGCCAGGGGGGTCCCGGCCTGGCCCCGGGGTCCCCAGGGGAGCTGGGCAGGGGTCCCGGCCTGGCCCCCTTTGTTCTGGTGGCGTCTTGGCTCCGTCTTGCGCTCGGGCGGGTGTGCCCAGACAGGAAGAGATGGCCTCCCTGGGGTCACTGGCCAGGCCCCAGCACGGCTGGCTTGGCAGCAGCTCCAGGCCACCGGGCCGTGCGGAAGCTCGAGTCGTCTCCTGTTGCTCTCGTGAGTCACTGCCAGGCCTTCCCGCCGCCGCCGCTGCCGTGAGTGTCCGCTGCAGTGGAGACCGGGAGGGGTGCTAGCGTGTCCTGCTGGGCCGGCCGGCACGGACGGCCTCAGTCCAGGCCAGGGACTCGCGAGGATGCACGGACGTCCCAAGTGTCCAGCACGTCTCGAGCAGTGGCTTGTGGCTCCTTTAAACTGTTTCCCACAGACGGGGGTTGTCTTTGTAGCATCTGAGACGTGTGCCGGTTCTGTGGCTTCTCAGGGCAGTTAGCCCGCAGTCCTCCCAGCACTCGGGCGCTTGCCACAGTGCGGGGTGACGCTGCTGGTCTAGACAACGCCCACGGTCTCCAGAGGGTTTTGGACGTGGTTTGTGTACTTCTTCATTTTGTTTGCTTTTGCCGGCTGTGGGTGTCTTGTCGCTGTCTTACCTGCTGCCCCTTTCCTGCCTGGCCTGCCCCCTGGCAGCCTTCGGGGGCCCTTGTTCTCAGAGAGGAGAACCAGGGACAGCCTCCTCTGGCGGACCGGGCGCTCCTGCAGCAGGGACGGCGCCAGCAGGCGGCTTCACTCAGGAGCAGCGTTAATCCTGTGCCAGGGCTGCAGGGCGGGGCGGGGGGGGGCTGCTTCCCTCCAGGTGTGGCCCCAGGCTGTGGTCAGAACAGTGGGTCGGGGCTTGGGGATTAAAGGCGGTGAAGTCAAGGTTTACGGCCCCTCCCCAGCCTGCACCCTTCAGCGAGGGCTGGCTGTGTCGTGTGGTAGTGGGGTGTCGACTCCAAGCACCCCCAGGTCCGAGATGGCTGTCCTGCTTCTCCCTGCAGTGCCCCTCCGTCCGGGCCAGCACCTCGCCACGCCCCTTTCTCCCCCTGCTGCTGCCAGGGCTGCAAGCGGAAGAGCTGTGGATGGGGTGGGGGAGGGGAAGCAGGCGGGGGCACATTGGGGGGGCAACCTTGGGACATGCTCACCCTGCCCCCGCACGGCCTGGGCTGTGAGGGCAGGCCCCTGAGGCATGGGCCAGGGTGGTCAGGGGCCGGTCGGTCCCCTGAGCCTGGCTGCATCTAGTGTACTGGCTCAGGTCCTGGGGGATGTGCTCTGATCTTCCACACAGGGGCCAGGGGGCAGGCCCCAGGGCTCGGGCGCCTCCCTCTTCCAGCTCCCAGCAGGCAGGAGGCCGGGCTGTGGTGGTCAGGTGGGCACCTGTGTTTGAGACTCGGTTAGAGGTTGCTGAGGGATTGGGAGCTGAAGTGGTATGCGTGTGTGTGTGTACGCGTGTGTGTGTGTGTGTACGCGTGTGTGTGTGTACGCGTGTGTGTGTGTGTGTGTGTACGTGTACGCCACCCGCAGAGCTGGCCCCAGGTGAAGGAGAGGGGAGGACGGGAGGCCGGCCTCGACGCCACCTCCTCAGCAGGGCAACACCTTCGGGATGGGATCCTGGGAACCAGCTTGGTCTTCGTGTGAGGAAGGTGCCTCTCCTGACTCAGACGTCCAGCTTCCCCCAGGACCTCACGTTTGCTTCCCTGTCCCAGATGCAACGTGTTCTGGAACTTTCCTGGGCCAGTGAGCTGGGTGTCGGAACACGCCGTAGCGCTTCCTCTTCTGTTGGAGAAGGGAAAGGGTGGCGGGCCATCCGGGGGGTAGGCTTTGTGTCTGTCCCAAGGGCTGCTGGCGACCGCGTCCGGGAGGCTCGAGCTGAGGACCTCCCTAGATGAGGCCGTGCGCTGGTGGGCCTGCGGAGTTTCTGTGTGACACGTCTCAAGATACCTCGAGCCCCAGTCTGTGTGTCTCCGTCTGACATGGAGGACCGTGTGACACGGAAAGCCCTGTGACTGACAGGAGAGACAAGGACACACAGGCCCCCGGCACACCCTGGGTGGCGGCAGCCCGCACTCCGGGCTGTTCCTCCCCTTCAGCGTCAGGCCAGACCCCTCCTTTTGCAGTGCCCTCCTTCTCTCCAAGAACTTAAAACGTACAAGCACCAAACCACTTTGTGGGCGTGTTCACACCAAACCAACCTGCTTGTTTCCTGCTTTCCAAGTCTTCTCCGACCCTCCATGTGAAGGGAGGAAATGCAGGCAGGAAGCCGGCACCGGTGGCCGGACACTGTGGCAGTCCCGTGTCCCCAGCCCTGTCACACACCCTCCTGGCTACTCTCTGGGTACCAGAACTACCCTCTCCTTGGCCAGGCTGTTGGGGACAACGCTGGGGTCCTGGGAGGGGCCTCGCTGCGTCAGTTTCTGGTATCGTGCCTGCTGTAAGTGGCAGGTTGTCAGGAAGGAGTCAGCCATGCCCCTCTCGGTGTGGGGGCGCCCAGCCGCGCTGCAGAGGCGGCATCCCCCCCCCCGGCAGCAGGCGTGAGCTCTGGCCCTTCTCCAGTGCTGCTCCCCAGGGTCTCTCACCACCGCCCAGGAGGGGTCAACGCGAGGGCTGTGGGGCACAGCTCCCGGCTGGACTCCACAAGACCCTTGGGGGACCATGTTGGTGCCGTTCTCTGCCCGAGTACCCCGTGTGGCCCCACCCCAGGTGGGCGGTCCCTTCAGCAGCTGCCTGGTGGGGGCTGGGGAGTGGCTAAATGGACAGCCATGACACGTGGCTCTCTCATATCCCTAGGCGTCTGGTCTGCAGCTCAGTGACGTGTGCTTGCCTGCCACCACTCTGCCCTCCCAGGAGCTTGGGGGCCCAGAGCAGAGGCCCCCGCCTCTGGCATCTGTTTTAGGTGCTTGGGGTGGACGAGGTCGTCTACGCCTTGTCCTTTGGTGACTGGCTTGACCCGCGGCAGCACAATGCTGTCGCGTTTCCTGTGCTGGCGTCTCGGGCCGAGCTGTGCTCCACTGTGGGGATGGCCATCAGCCACCAGCACACATTTGGCCGTCTGCCCTTTCTGACGAAGCAGTCACACCAGATTTGAACCTTGCTGGCTATCTGTCCTTGGATGTAGCTGGCATTTCCAATGGGACTTTCCATGTTTTGAGGAAAAGAGCCTGCCTTGTGTCCTTCCCTCACTTTGTTCTCATTGTGTGTCATTTCCATCAGTGGGTGACAGAGCTGAGTAAAGCCTGGGGACCAGAATTCATGCTCTGCCCGTGCGCCCGCGGGGCTGTGGCCTGTGGGCGTCCGTCACGTGGCCTGTCGCAGCTCTGATCTTTTGTTTTGCTGACGTGCCTGTGGCAGCGTGTTGAGCGCTCACTCTCTTCTTTCACTAGCATTCCACGCCTACGGAAAAGCAGGGAAGACGTTGGTGGAGACCAGGTAACCGTGCCACTTGTCCTGACGTGGCCCCGCCCTTCCTCCTCACCTCTGCTGAACACAGACTTGATCCCACAGAATGAAGGATGTGTGTGAACTGGTTTGGAATTACATTGTGTGTCTGAAGTGCTGCTGCCTCAAAGTTGGAAATCCAGTCAGTTGTACGCTTAGAGTGATGAGGCTCTGACTTGAAAGCCTTCAAGTCTTACTAAGTAAAACGGATAGGGACTGGTGGAGGCCAGTCTCACGGCTCCCCACCAGTGGCTGTTCATCTGGCCTGTGTGCTGGGTGCGCCGCCCCTCCCCAAACCGTGCAAAGGCAGCGTGAAATGGAACATGTCAGCTTTTCCTCCTCTGGCGTGAAATGTTAGGAGATGAGAGAAGGGCTGAGCCGTCGTACGCCCAGGCGCCAAGGGAGCGGAAGGCTAGGAAGCCGCCGGGCGTGAAGGCACGGGGCGTGCTTTTAACCTGTCTCACGTGCAGCGCCCTGGTGCAGCCCGGAACGAGCTTCTCAAACCCCACAGAGGGAGGGCTGGGTGCCCGCCCTTCCTGCTCACCGCAGGTCAGAGCCTGACCTCTGTGCACCTACCCAACTCCTGCACACCCTGGCGCGTTCTAATCGCGTCTTCACTCGGTCCCCCTTCACAGCATCACACATCCGCAGTGGGGCCCTGGGGGGCTCCGGCTCGCTGCCCTCTCCTGGGATGGCGCGTGGCCGGATTCTCAGGCCACTCGTGAAGCCCCTGAAGGCCGCTTTCTCCTTGCAGCATGATCGGGCTCATGCTGGGCACCTGCATGGCTTTCTACGTGGTCATCGGGGACTTGGGCTCCAACTTCTTTGCTCGGCTGTTTGGGTTTCAGGTAAGGATGCCTTCGAGTGTGTGGTTCGTGCCCGTGTGGTCGCCCGAGGGGCTGCTCGACGTGGCTGTTTGCGGGTCCACGCGGCTGCTGGATCGGGAGCGGTGCAGCCAGCCGGGGGCACCCGTGTTAGGCCTCAGGGTCAGCCCACGCCCTGGGCACCGGGTGTCTGGAGGAGCTACAATTGCAGGGGCCTCACGGGCGACTCCTGCTCCTGGGAAGACGGGGGAGAGGAAGCGGGGCGTGGAGAGTCCTCCAGGCTGTGTGCAGTCTGACCGCAGAGAAGGGCACGGCCGTCACAGGCCTACCTGTGGGGATGAGTATCGGGCCCAGCAAGGCTGCCCTCATGCGGTGCTCCGAGGGTGCCCAGGATGGCTGGCGTCTGTGCGCTGCTGTGATGCGTGGGCTGATGTTGGGGTGGGGGGCGTGCAGGGTCTCGGAGGCTCTGTACCCCGTGAGCGTGGTGGTGTCAGCTCCAGGTCAGGGACTGTGGCGTCAGATGTGTGTGGCGCAGCCGCGTGAAGCCTTCAGGACCCCTGGCCCTTTCTGTGTTTGTCTGGGAAGCAGCGGTGTGGGCTGTTGGCTGAGTTTTCTGGGTCAGCATCCAGTCTTCCTTCTGCAACAACGTGACATCCAGTTCCAGCACCGGAAGTATCTCCCTGGCCTCCATCTCTCCAGCCTCCGTCTCCCTGGGCTCTGCCTGGTCCCGCCTCTTCCCCTGCATCCAGGGCTCTCTGCAGAGGGGCCCAGCTGCCCACATGGTGCAGCAGTGGCCCCCAGTGACCGCCCAGTGCAGTACACACAGGCCTGCTCCTGTTTGTGGGGCCCCGTGTCTGAGGGGTCTCTCCTGTGTCTTGGTCCCCCTGTGTCCTTGGCTCGGATGGTCTCAGTCTGTGCCCTTGCCCCACGCAGGGTCTAGAGGTGGTCAGTGACTGAGGTCGCAGGGTAATGAGAGAGAAGCAGTCAGACCAGATTTGAGCCTCGGTGGCTCTCTGTCCTTGGATGTAGCTGGCTGTGGGCCTGTGTCCTCACCTGGCACAGGGCAGGTGGGGCCCCTCCCCGGCCCCCTCACCTGCTCCTTGGTCCCCCAGGTGACCAGCCACTTCCGCGTCTTCCTGCTGGTGGTGGTGTCCCTGTGCATTGTGCTGCCACTCAGCCTCCAGAGGAACATGATGGCCTCCATCCAGTCCTTCAGCGCCATGGCCCTCATCTTCTACAGTGTCTTCATGTGCGTGGTGCGTTTGCGCGTTGGGACGTGGGGCAGGGCCGGGGTGGGTGTGGGGGAAGGCAGGGCCAGGAGGTAGGGCCGGTCTGGGGCGGGGCCAGGAGGTGAGGCGGGGCCAGGCTGGGGCAGGGCGGGGCCAGGAGGGGAGGGTATGAGCGGGGCAGGGTGAGTGTGAGGGGAAGGCAGGTCCAGGGGGCGGGGCCGGTCTGGGGCGGGGCCAGGAGGCGTGGGTATGGGTGGGACGGAGGTCCGCTGGAGGGCTCGTCCGGGCCCTGACACCCCGGCTCTGCAGATTGTGCTGTCCTCGCTCAAGCACGGCCTCTTTGGCGGGCAGTGGCTGCGGCGGGTCAGCTACGTGCGCTGGGAGGGCATCTTCCGCTGTATTCCCATCTTCGGCATGTCCTTCGCCTGCCAGTCGTAAGTACTGCCAGCCCGGCCATGGCGTGGAGGTCGGGGGGAGGCACAGGGGAGAGTCTGGGAGCAAGGGGGCGTGAGGGTTCTGTGGGGGGGCCTGGTGCTGAGGGCCTGTAGGAGGGGCCATGGTGTGTGTGTGGGGGGGCCTGTGGGGGGGCGTGGCATGGAGGGGCCTGTGGGTGTGGAGGGTCCTCTTGGGGGGTGCCGCAGTTTGAGAGGCTGGTCACCCACCCTTCTTTCCTTTGGTCACCTCACCTGTCCCAGGAGCAGCGCTTTGCTCAGCCCTCCCATCAGCTGAAGGAGGCAGCCTGCCTTTAGGCAGATGAGTTGACATCCTTCCTGGGGCTGAGTCGCTCAGTGTAACTCAGTGATGGCCTGTTTGCCGGGTCCTCCACCAGCCGAGCTGGCTGTTGGCTCGACTGTGGGGGCCATCTGACAAGGCAGCACCCTCTGCATTTTGGCAGGACTGTCTGTTGGTGGATACTGAAAAGAGAATCGCAGACTTCAGACAGCTATGGGGCAGCTCTTAGAGATCTGTGTCTGTGTGTACATGTATGTGTGTGCGTGTGTGCATGTATGTGTGTATGCATGTATGGTTCTGGCAGAGTGTCCCCCTTCCTGTAGTGCCCACATGGTGTGACTGTAAGCACCTGTGACAGACAGGATTTATTCCCACTGCTGTGCTGATGCCCATGAGTGTGATCCGAGCAACTACTCCTGACCCCAGATCCTGACAGCACGGTGTCTCCTGCTTGCTCCAGCCTTGCTGTTACCCACCATGGTGTATGTGTGAATGTGTACATGCACTGGCATGTGTATGCACAAGTGTGTATGTGTGTGTGCATGCACAGGTGTGCGAGTGCAGGTATGCATACATATGTGCGTGCTTGCAAGTATGTGCATGTATGTGTGTGTGCTTGTGGATTCATATGTGAGCACTGTGTGCATGTCAGTATGTGTAGGTATGCATGTGTTTGTGAGAAAGTGCATGTGTGTGCATGTGAGTGTAAATGTGTGCGGGTTTTCATGTGGGTGTGTATATATGCACATGCATTCATGTGTACACGCACAAGTGTGCATGTGTATATGCATGTATATGTGTACATGCACATGTGCATGTGTGTGGTTGGCTGTATGTGTATTGTATGTGCATCTGTACATGTATAAGTGTATGTATGCATTTCTGCATGTGCATGTGTGTGGTTGGGTGTATATATTCTGTGCACATGTATATGTGTGCATTCATGTATTTACCTGTGTATGTATGTGGATGTGTGTATTGTGCTTACATGTGTGTGCATTTCAGTCTTATATGCTTTAGTGTGCATGTGTGTGCACATGTGTGTGCATTTGTGCATGCGGGCATGTGTGTGTGCCTTGCACAGGTTTCCACATGTGTATGCATCCGTGCGTGTATATGTGTGTATGTGTGTGCATGCAAGCAGTGTATGCATGTTTGTGCAAGTGCTTGTGTGTGCACGCGCGCATGCGTTTCTGTGTATATGTGTGTGCATGTGTACTTGTGTGCATAGGTATGTCTGCTTGTGCATGTATTTCTGCATATGTGCATGAATACATGTATGTATGTGCGAATGTGCATGAGTGCACATATGTACACATGCATGTGTGCATGGCTATGCAAATGTGTGTGTTTGACATGTACGTGTGTGCATTTGTGCTTGTGTGTGTATGCATGCAGGTGCATAGTTGCGTTTATGTGTATATGTGTTTGTATGTGTGTGAGTATGTGTGCTTACATTTATGTGTGTATGTGTGCATGACTGTGTGCAGATGCATGTGTGCCTGCATGCATTTGGGTATGTGTGTGTGCATTGATGTGTGCCTGCATATGTTTGTGTATGTGCATATGTACGTGCGTGCTTGCTTGCATGTGTGCATGCATGTGCATGTGTGCATGTTTGTGTGTGTCGGCACTTGCACATGTGTGTATGTGTGTAACCAGTGTGTCTGCTGGGTCTGTTTTCTGGGTTAAAGTTGTGGACACATGTCATTCTGACTCCTAGAAGGTCTGTCTGGGCACAAAGTTATGTTGAGTGCAGAGGTGCTGCTCCAGCACCAGCACCCACATTTCTTGATCAGGGTGCATCCTACCCCTTTGGGAATGTGGACATTTGCCAGGCATGGAGGTGATATGGGGGATGACAGCCAGGCCCTCCCTGCCCACGTGGCCCATCCATGCATTTTGAGGAATGAGCAAGCCTTCCTGACCACCATGGCCTGCTCCTCAGGTCTGAAGAACCCAGCAGTGCTGGCCATCATGGGCCCAGGGTGTGGCCGGGACTGTCCTTCTGGGCCAGCCATAGTGGGCTAGGTGGTGTGGCCGGGGCTGCCCTCCTGGACTGGCCATAGTGGGCTGGAGGTGTGGCTGGGGCTGCTGGGTCGGCCATCATGGGCCCAGGGGTGTGGCCGGGGCTGTCCTGAGTGTGGCCCGAGTTGCCAGAGGCTTGGGAGGACCTGTCTGTGCGCTGGGGTGGGAGGAGTGCACTCAGGCTGCGTGCGGAAGCTCCGCTGGTCTGGAACTCAGAGTCTCCAGGGGTGGCCTTGCTGTTGCCCAGGGTGCTTGGCGGACGAGGTGGTGGGAGCAGGGTCTTTCTCCTGTAGTACAGCTGCTTTGGCCAGGAGCGAGCTTCCCTGTAGGTCCTTCGGCACGCAGCCAGGTGGTAGCAGCAGCCCCTGCAGTGGGGCACCTGATGTGTGTGTGGGGTGAACCTGCACTGAGCTCTCCTGAGCTGGGGCGACAGGTGTGGGCTCTCTGCTCCAGCCGGGGTGGGGTGCTGAAGCCCATCCAGACACAGTCTTCTCCCGGAGTGGTGGGCCAGGGCACATGGTGGGGGCTGGACACCAGCTGTTCTGTCCTGACTTCACGGTGTCCCAGGGCGGTGGAGGGTGAGGCAGGGCTCTGGCTGCTGGGCTTCCTCTTGGGCGAGGAGAGTGGTGCCCAGGCCCTGGCTGCAGCTGCCCGTGTGCTCACGCGTGCGCCTCTGTTAAAGCCGGGGTGTCCCCTGCCCTTCCTTCCCTGCACGTTTGGGTTTGGCTGCTGGTTCTGTGTCCTTGCTTGTGTGTGGAACAGACCTGTGCCATAGGGTTTGCGAGGTTGTGACTTTCTGGACTGTTCAGGTCAACAGGTCTTTCTTCCAAGCCGCCTGGGGTGGCTCGAGCCTCCAGCCATCCGTCGGCGCTGGAGCGTGCCCTCTGTTTTCACGTCCCCTGCCGTGGGCCTGTCCCTTTACCAGCGGGTCGTTCTCTGCCCCCTGTCGATCCCCACCTCTGGCCGAGCTGCGTGCCCACCCTGATGGCGGCTGCCTGTACTCACACTTGCCCGGCGTGTCCTCTGCTTGCTTCTGATCGGGCCCCCTGCACCCACCCCTGTCTCTGAGCCCCCGGCCTGCCCGTGTCCTCTGGCCACAGCTGCACTCCTTCCCGCCTGTAGTGCACCATGTGCCGGTTGGCCTGAGCTGTGGTCACAGAGGCATTATAGGGGCAGGGCTCCTTGCGGGTAGCCTTACCCACTCCCGTCATCGTCACTGAGACCTGAGAGCGTGGAGCAGTCTGGGCAGTGGTGCGTGTGGGGAGGTGTCTGTGTCTGGATGCGCTTGGTGACGCGGTCTGTGCCTGCAGCCAGGTCCTGCCCACCTATGACAGCCTGGACGAGCCCTCAGTGAAGACAATGAGCTCCATCTTTGCCTCCTCTCTCAACGTGGTTACCACCTTCTACATCACGGTAGGGGCGCTCTTTGGCGTCAGCGTGGTGGGCTGTCACGGGCTTCAGGGGGTCTCCTGTCACCTCCTGGCAGCCCCCCAGTGGTGCCCTGTGCAGGCCCTGCCCAGGCTCTGGCACTTTGCTGTCGGGGGATGGGCTGGCCTCACGCTTTGCTGGGTGTGCTAGCCCTGCCTCTGAGTCCCGCTATCCCACCGCCCCAGCCGCTTCCGCCTGTGGCCACCTGCTCCCCCAGTTGGCTGGTGTGGGTTAAGCTTACCTGGTACCAAGTCACATCTTACCAAGGTCTTTGGTCAAAGTGACTTTCCCCATGGAAGTGGAACATGTTCAGCAAAAAGAATCCGGGCAGTGAGAAACGGCAAAGGGAGACATAACCGCTGCTGGGGGGTTGCCTCCCACTCTCAAGCTGCTGCCGAGTCTTTGTATCTCACCAGCGGAGTCGGAGATGCCCTGTGTGGCCGATAGCCTGTTCCCCTAGGCCACCACGGGGCTGTCAGGGATGCTGGCCTACCCATGACACCCATGGTCACCCCTGCTCTTGGCACCCGCAGTCCCCCCTTCTCTCAGTGCTTGTGGTACCTCCTCCCGTCAGTGCCCACGGTCCCCCAGGCCTCTTGTCTCCCATGATCCCCCCCATCTCCCGCAGTTCCCCCCCCAGCTCCCACGGTCCCCACAGGCCTCTGGGCACCCATGATCCCCCCATCTCCTGTGGTCCCTCAGGCCTCTTATGTCCTGCGATCCCCCCCATCTCCCACGATCCCCCCAAGCCTCTCATCTCGTTATCACCTCCCATCTCCTGTGGTCCCCTCCTCTTCTTGTCTCCCGCTAGCACCCCCCATCTCCCATGGTCCCCCAGGCCTCTCGTCTCCTGTGACCACCCCCATCTCCCATGGTCCCCCAGGCCTCTCATCTCCTGCGACCACCCCTATCTCCCATGGT